ATTTTATGCTAGTTAGCTGGCATCTACTTGGGTAGGAAGTATTTGTATTTGTCATACTTAAGAATCTCTTGGTAAAATGCCTTTGCATGTTTTAAATATTTAAACGATTAGCCTTGCTCATCGAATTGAAGAATGGACAATAATACCCAAGTATGGGAAGTATGAACATTCGATAAAGTTTTTATTTGATTTCAGGAGGACAGAAATTATGTAAAATAAAGTCAAAAATCCGAGTAGTTTTGGCCGTAATTCCGTCGGTGTGTGGCGAGAGATCTAGAGTTTTGGTGTAGTTTAAACCTAAGTCCTTGGTAATGGCACATTCGGTCGTAGGTTTGCCCTGAAAAACCACAGCCTGGGGAAGTCTTTCAGGTCCGAAACACATATGGCGACAGTTGAAAGAAGCCATGTCTATTAGCCATCTTGAGCTTTATGCTGAGAGAACAAGCAGATCAGCATGAGCTTGCACTAGGTACTGTTGGGTCGTAGATATAGGGAGCGAATATTCGCATTTGAGGTCACCAGCATAAATTAAAGATTGATAATGTTAAGCTGCAGAAGAGATGTCATTAGTGTAGAGGAAAAACAAATCAGGACCTAAAAAGGTACCTTGCGGTACACCACGTTTGATAGGTCTTTCATCAGAAATTGAGGATCCAAATGAAACCTTTTTCCTTCTATTAGATAGGTATGGTAATAAAGTCAGTAAGGGGACTGCGAAGTCCCAGAACTTCTAATTAAGCTGGGAGTTTTCCATGTACTTTTTTATCAGAGGCTTTGCTAAGATCAAAATAAATGACGACCACAGAGAAGTGATAATTACCAAGAGAAGTAAGTTGATTGAGAAACGGCATGCAGCATGTTTCACAAGAATGATCGGCCAAAAACCATGTTGATAACAGCTAATAACTTTATTCGCTATGTCAAAGTCAGTAATTTTCGTGCCAACAATTTTTTTAAAGAGTTTGGTGAGGGAGAAGGTTTTATGGACACCGTGATGGTTTTAAGCATCAGAATGATAGCCAAGTTTAGATGCTGGAATAATCATGGAAGTTTTCTAATAATCGAGAACATAGACCTCCCCTAGAAAGACTAACAATAAATTGTTCAACAGGGGTGGAAAATTTCTTAGTTAATTAATAAGACAGTTCAGGATGTTGGCAGTTCTAACCAACTGTGAATAATAAGACTGGCTTATCAGTTTCTGAATACTCCTAAAACAAAATTAATAGTGGCGAGCACAGCATTAGACAACGGGAGAATTAACAAGATAGGGTCCGGTTTGATGCTAAATAACGGGCAAAGAAGGAATGTAACGGTTTTGATCTCCCCAACTCCTCTGTAATGAATGTATTATTGTAACAAAGCAAAGGTTGAGCGGCCTGATTGGACTTGACTGACGATCTTTCGCGGAAGACCTGAACAGCAGACCCAGAAAAATTTCCATCATTACTAGCCGAAGACTCTCCACACCAAATTCGTACGAGCCTCATTTTTGAAACTAATTCATATTTATCTAAGATTCTTAGGTGAATCGATAATAAGCCTATGGACAGACCTGTAAACCCTTTTCGTAACATTTAAGTCAGTTTTTAGGAAAGTTTGAGACTTTAATGGAGAGACACTTGATTGAGACATCTTCAGTGTGATGGCATCCAGGAGGCCTTCTGTTACACGCTGCAATATAGCGTAGAAGTTTGAATCAATGCTTGAGGAAAGTGTTGTGCCAGTGGAGCGTGCTTGTAAAGTTATTTAAATTTCATTGCCAACATTAGCATAGTCAAAGTAGGTACGATTTATTGCCAGGTTTTCAGAAGTGGAAACTGGAAGACAACAATCAGTTAATGAATGAACACTGAATCCGACTGAGCACAACGGAATTATTCTGCACTCCAGCAGGCACTATTTCGACTCGGCTACAACTTCAGGGTTACCGTCTCTAGTATTAGAATTATTGTAACGATGCTGGTATGCAACTCAAGACAAGGCGCCTTCTCGATCTCCCGAACTAATGCTTAAAGGTCCTCTTCACCTTTACCAGAACGATGCAATGACAAGTCGGGGACACACCGATGGGATCGCCGATGTCCAGTTTTATTGCTGAGGCAGTATTACGGCGTCCAGTAGCACTGGCTTTTAAGCATTTACGACCACAGTTGTAGGCAGGGTACGTTGGCAACACATTTGTCATCCTCAGTCGGGACAAAATTGAGGAATCCGTGTAATATCCGAACTCGATTTTCCGTGACATCCATTTCCCGACAGAGGAACAAAGGGACGACCAGTTGACAATACTAAACACGCCCGTGAGCAGAAAAAGTGATAATAAAATCAAAACAACGGTTTATAGCAAGGCGGCTAGTACCTATTATAATCTAGGATATCATAACAAACATCCGCTCTAACATAAAAAAGGACACGTGAAAAACTCTACATCCATGTAGAAACCTATTGCACTGAGCCAAGTGACTGGAAAACTAAGGTTCATATTCTGATGAGTCTGAGAAATCTGTTGTCGTTTACCGGATAAAATGCAACTGTGACCAAGTCAATTATTTTGGTAAGGCCGGTAAACAGGCCCACATGAGGTTTCTTCAATGTACCCTTGCTGTGACACTAGAAGATAAATTTTCCTTTAGAGCCGCTTGCTCGTGCTCGCCAGGGCATCGCCTTGGTTCCGAATGCGTGAGGCACTCGATTCAGTGGGAGGACAAAATTTTACATCTGCCGCGGGCAAGGCGGCGCTCGGATGAGAACTCGAACAATGGCATATCAATCTGCCAGCCGTTTATCATGTTTTGTGAAAACGAATCGGTGACCAACATGAAGGTCTTTCTCGGTAGTGAATCAAATAGGCAAAGAGTTCCATAGCTCCTTTAACCTTGAAGAGAGGCCCGTGGACGGTCCGAAAGGTCTACTGGATAAACTACTAGTCCCAAAGAACGCCATCTCGTCTTCCGTATACATACGGATGTGAACAAAGTGCTGGTACAAATGAGCAGATGCATTGTTGGGGTCTCGCCATGGCAAGTAAATATTAATTTTAAATTAAGTTCCAGAGCAGTTAGACAGTTTCTGTTCATTATTCAGTCCTCGGTTGTAGAATAAACTGTTACATATAAAAACGGTCAGCGAGCAATGAAAAAACTTACGAAAAAACTAGGTGAGCATGAATTGTTTAACTTCTAAGGAGAAGAAAACCTGCCGTCCACGAAAGGGAATATATGCGGGCCAAACAAGACCGGGCTGCATACGGTATTTTATAAGGGATTTAAAACGTAAATCATCAAGACAGAGCTTCCTAGACCGTATGACGTTATGAGCATCGAAGTGACAATACAGAATTATTCCGTCTCCACTCAGTTCACAGTATTTCGCAATACCAGTCGAGACCACAAATATAAACGCGCGCACACATACGCGCAGAAAGCCCATCACCAGGTCAACCGAATACGCCGTAAGCACTTCGTCAAATCGAATTGCCTCAGCGCCTCGTCACCTGCCATTCTTAGTGGCTGCTGATCGGGTATATATTCGGCCTGGAATGAGAACATATGGATTCATTGTATTCCCGGAGCAAACAAACTACGCATGGGGGCAGGAGTCACGCACGTCCTATTCCAAAGTCGAACAAGCCATGATCGCAAAACGGAAGACAACAGACTTCGAGGCTAGTTTGGTATGAACTGTTTCTGTATTTATTCGGCCAAACATACTCCTGACCATCAAGTGGACAAAAACCAAACGCGTTCACAAACGACGCCGATGCCCACCGCTGTGCCTACCAGGCAGGTTACAAACACGTCATCGGGTGGAATTTCTTCTGCACGTCTTCTCCTGCCGTACCATCATCTTCCTCTTCGGCTAACGCTTGCGATCATTCGTCATTCTGTAAGGTTTTGGCGTTTCTTCTGCAGTTATTCTGTGCTTGATTTCTTAATTGTTGTTAGGTATCTCCACTGGTTGTAGAAAATGGTGTGGTTGAACATGTGCACCTGTATTTCGCTGAAATACACAGAACAAACCTCTCACCACAGGACGTAGATCACTTCGTTTTTTGGTAAACGTCTACCTAGCTTCACTTGGAAGATTTCGGAATTCACACAAACCAAAATACCATAAGTGTCACATCAAAAAGGAGCCATTACCGTCTACCTCCAAGCATAGAGTAGGACCGAAAAGCTCTGTTATTTGATAATCTAACAAGGTATGACTTTATGCGCGTCATAATAGTTTTCATGCAAAATTTATGATGAGGAACTAGGGAGTGCATTCAATCTAACTATGCCTCCTGACTTTCAAACATCAGAGGTGTGTCTGAGACGACTGACTGATTACTTATAAGACCGGACGGAATAGCTGCGTGGTTTAAGCTTTCGTGCACGCACGCACAGGCAATACTTCGTTGTTTAGAAGATGAAGACGCGATCACTGGGACAAGAAGTTTATTTGCCTGACGTTTCGGATTCTCACTCGAATCCATCATCAGAGACATTCGCAGATAGAGGTCTGCGAATGTCTCTGATGATGGATTCGAGTGAGAATCCGAAACGACAGGCAAATAAACTTCTTGTCCCAGTGATCGCATCTTCATCTTCTGAACTGCTACCTGGGACTCGCCTGTTCGCTTCTATCAGCAAACTTCGTTGTTTGTTATTTGCTGGATATTCTGGACCAGCCACAATGCCCTAGTGTATGTTCACATTTGCTTATTTTTCCGACGGCTAATAGTGAGCGTGGGAGAGGAGACAGAGGTTGGTGCTGTTCCATTCTCACCTATTGAAATGCAATCCGGACTTTGGTTTATCACGTAGAGGCCAGCGCTAAGTACCCATGGATCTAACTGTTATGACACTTTTGTGAGACCTTTTGAGGAGAGGAAATACTATTTTTACGATTTCAAAGAGCCATAGACACCAGAACACTTTCGTGAGCGTCCGAACATTTCAGTTTTGTTGTTTTCATACGCTCTTTTAATGGCTCAAAAGCAAATATAAGCGAAGATGGTTTGGATACTGGCTGTTGATCTTTCACTTAGCATGATGCGCCCATTTGGGGACAAAAATTCGACATTTTTCGCCTTCTCAAAGGAATTTATTAAAAAATTCATTAAACAGCTGTCTATTCGTAGGCCGTACGAACCAATCTGCCTTGTAAACCTCGTTTGACATTTCACGTTTCTCTAGTTTACTCCAGGGTCGTCGGAGGAGAGCCTATTCACCGAGTTTACTGCTGATATTGACATTCTCGAGAAGGCAGTTGATCGAATGGCATTTCCTAATCTTTCGGAACTCAGCAGACGTTACTCCGAGCCGTTTCCTCTCACCGCATTTGAACGACAAATGCAGAAGTTTGCTTGCTCCCACCACTGTCGAGTAAGTTTGTCTTCATCAGTTCCTCTGCCAATTTTAATGTTAGTTCTTTGCCAACTCGATTACACCTTTTCTTTTTGTAACACAATAAGACACCCTTGGTCGGCGTTCATCGTCGTCGCCCATGGGTTTCTAAAACTTATTTAACTGCCTCTAGGCACACTGTGGGGACAGAGGACGAATTTTTCAAGGGGAACTAATGCATCGCATTTAAGCGTGCGTTAACAGTTATATTTTCAATGCCGGAAATCGCCTCATGCAAAGATGTAGCTGGGATTCTGGCCGTACCTGTTTAGCTAACTGCGATGAAGTCTCACCTTCATGGGTAGTGGACAATAGCAAGTCATCCAGTGAAAGACCTAGGTGCTTTAAAATTTATCAACTTAGCATTCACGGGGCATGGCCTTGGACTACCCAGTCGTAGATATTTCAAACCGGCGATGCGTGAAAGGGTAGGAGTCAAGAATGATACCACAACAGTAAAAATACCTCTAGAATTCTAATAGTCTCAAATTCCCCTCCTCTCTATAGTTTGAAAGTTCCATAAAAGATTGCATGATTCATAATGATGTTTAGCGAATAGCCATTCTATTTTTTATGCCCGCCTATAAATGCTGCGTGGTGGTTCCTGAAACAGTCTACAGGGGAACCGTTGCGTCTCAACCTACACTAGCAAGCCTAGTACCACAGGCACACATTTCGCACCACCTTGTGTCCTCGAGGCCTCAGTCATGAATATCTTAAATCTTTGTTTCGATTTTACGTGTTTGTTCTGATTCTATCACAGAGTGAATGAAAGCGCTAGGGTGTGGCACCGCCTACCAAGCTTGACCTGATTGTCTTCGATCTGAAAGCGAGGTCAAACGGTGCCCCACCGCCCGCAAACTACTCACTTTTTGAGTGCCATGCGGAAGGCAGGTTAAATATTAGTAAAACGGCCCTGCGGCAGATGAAAAACTGCTGACCTAGTACGCATATCGACTTCTTTCTTGGCGGTGAATTCTGAAAGGCAAAACTCTCTAGATTAACTTCCGGCGTAATCAAACGATACAGTGATGTTGTTTGGCTGCACTTGTATCGAGGGTAGCGCTCGTTGTTTTGACACTTTCATGCAAAGAAATAAACAATATTTTTTGACTGGCAGCCACAAACGACTTTGTTTTTTTTCGGAAAAATAATGACACTTCGGTGTCCTCGGTTTGTAAATAAAATACGTCAGGACTGCATTTTTCTGAGGTTTCTGTTAGTCGCCTAGACTTGTTCAGTTACAAACCCAAGGCTGCGCATAATCTTAAACCATCCAAAATGGGAGAGCATGCACCATACCCGAGATATGTGCCCTGAAAAGTTGAGCCTCTTCTTTTAGACCACGTTCTAGACGATGCATTCGATGATGTTTGAGTGAAAGTGCTACTAGCAAGTCATATATCTAGTTTTGGAAGAACCTTCTGCAGATGGTGACCAGTAAGTATTTATTCAAAGATAGACTTTTGCCCGAAGACCTGCCAGCAATATTGTTACGTGAACTTACTCTCATGTCAATTATTACAACATAAACTCTTGATGACCTGACTTTCCGAACATGAACCAACTACGAGATCGGAGAATGCATGTTCACACGTTACTGTGTAAATCCCCGAAAACGGTTATCAACTTGTGTTTGACAGTATCCAAGTAATCGACTGTGTCGAACTCATAAGTCTTAGAGATATTCGAAGCCTAGCAACCTGATGCCAATTTAACCTCCGGGTCGACCTATTTTCGGCCTCAAAAGCTGTCTACAACTAGCTTAAGAAAAAAGAAAGGTCGACCAGAGCTTGGGAGAAGAAATATCTATACTCAACCGGTATTTCGCCATGCCGTCTATTTCCAGAAATGCACTTAAGTGCAACGACAAAGCATAAGGAGAATTCAACTACAACACTCGGCTTGCGAAGGAGTAGAACACTGCCAAGGATGATGCGGAATCCGAAGGTCTCAACTTTGTTGACCTGTGTTTTAGCTTTTCTGGATTTCCAAGATGATTTCAGGCATGTGGCCAAACACCTTCACACTTCTGTTTTACCCCAAACATGCTCCAGCCGTCGGTGATAGTGAATTCGTTTCGTAAATCCACGTGCTACTAATCCTAGATGTAACACAAGTGGCCAGTCATTTTGAAACATCGCTTTCTGTTCCATTTCCATACAGATTTTAGTATTAACAGACGGCTGCTCGTCCAACTTCTCGGATATCATGGATCCTGCTTCATCGACCCGGGAGGTGTGTTTGGATGGATCCTGCATCGTTGTCAGCTTATCAGGCAGCCAGGTGGGTAAGCACAATTGTGCCTTCTTCTTTGACCCTCCTGCGTACTATATGTTATGGCAACACTATCATGATGGTACACACATCTCTGCATGCTCTACAAGGACTCAGTCTCAAATCTCATCGTCGTGACAATTGACTGCGTACTCCCCAAACCCCTTTTTAGCCTCATATTAATGGACGCCTGTCCGAATTAATTCCCAACCATCGAAGTCCAAGACCAAACTGACAGAAAACTCCAACAGAATGCATACTTTTGCGGAACCCCCTAAAGTCAATATGTGTGGTCTTACGTTCGCCGCTGATTCCGTACCCAACGTCACTACGGAGTTTGACATTCAGCGTGATCCGAACTTATTCGTCTTCGGGAACCAAACCGACACGGAAAAGCAGTCATAGTGCATTGAAACCAATGCTGACTGCTGACTACACGGAACCGTCAAAGTACTAACTTCACCATTGTTAGTCATCAATTTTGTTGCTCGGATTCGTAGTGGCTAGTAGCCTGGCCCTACCTCTTGACTACGCAAACCATAGGCTGGCTGTATGTTCGAACCAAAGAAGGAAGCTCAGCCGTCTCTATTGTCTTCGGAGGAATCGGGGACGGTAGTTTCAGCAACTTTTCTCGAACGCTTAGCTCTGGCCGATCCACTATCCTGCTGTGTTGCTGAAACCAGTTCATCTTCGATCGGGCCACCATATGTAAGGACGCCATACCATTCCCTTCTGAGACTATCGTTTTTACGGTCGTTGCCATAAACTACTCTACGGGGATGCCTTGAGAACCGACAAAAATGTCTTGAAACCAATCGGGCTACCAGGGGGACTCGCATGGCGCCCTTGTTTTAGAGGCAGGACTGTAGCCTCTGAAAACAAGATGTTGCAAGATGACAGGCAGGAGCGGACATAACTTCAGTACAGGGAAGCATCCGCTCCCCCTCTTCTCATGAACCTATCAAGCGCCTTCAAAAAGCCTGGCTTATTTCCACGGCTGCATATCTAAACGGCCCTTTGATTGAGGTATCCGTTTATATGTTGTAAAATCTCCCTTCCACAGAACTGTTGATAGAATTATCAAGGTCAGGCGACTGACTTATTCCATATATGCTGGCTTCCAGGTTGTCGTTTCTGTCTGACATAGGTAAACTCAGCTCTGCGTAGGCTGCAGGCCAACTTCAAACACTCATCTCTCCTAAGTGCAGCATCCGTGGGAGCCACAAATCTGCCTACAGACCGTATTACTGACATGTTGGTGAACGCCGTCTTCGGTACACAGACCTGCGAAAGCGAGCACCCCACGCTGATTGCCTGCGGTCACCTATTTTCCTCCGCTGTCCTTACTCCGCGCCCCTGCTTCCGCCACCGAGACGAGTAAGGTTGTTATGTCACGTTTTTTTGCCTACTAATGCTACTGAATTGGGAAAGCAGGTTAGATCTAATCGGAAAATTCTACTCCTCTTGGTTAATGAAGACGGCAATGGTTGTCAACCAGTGTTCAAGCAAACGAAGTACCTGTCAAGGCGCAGTACGGGAGCCGCGTATTCTGAGCTATCTGGTGTCAGATACTGATGGCTGCGGCGGCAACGGCGATGTCTGATAATTGCGCGAATCTCTTTTAAGGTCTCCTGTCAGGACTATTGGCAGACTTGACCTTGTTCCTGTCCTTTTGGTTCTTGTGTGCAATAGGCGATCTGATGTGAGAGAAAAGGCGTAACCGGAAGTAGTTGAGAAGGTGAAGATCCAATCATTGTGGATTTTGGCCACAAGGTTTTTGATACACGTATTGGAATCTATTTTCTGAGACAACACCGTGAGAGGGTAGCAGACGATATGGTTGTTGGCCACCACACCTTGCATTCACAGCTACTTATCAGCCGCAGATGTCCGTGCCCGGTGTGATAATTCACCGGTCGCTCGCATCCTAGTCGTTACCAACGGCTATTTCAGCATTGGTGTTGGTGATTGGCGTGACGGTTTGGTTTGTCACTACTTTCACTAGAAGCACTTTTCGTTCGCGTGCTCCCTGCGTGACTAGTTACTTTACCCAGGCAAAGTCTAAGGGTTGAATGTCGTTGCCCATGTTGGTGGACTGTGACTGGGCAGCCATGACCCATCTAATACGTGACTCTTGCGAGAGTTCCGACCAGGTCAAGCTTGAAAGTGCGATTAGGTGTCGTTCTAGTGAGCTGCTAGTTGGTATTTTCTATCATGCCCGTCACTGCCGCTGTATGTTCAGACATCCGCGTTCAGTGTGATCTCTTAGTTTCCACGACTCGGTTTCATTGCACGGATGTGCGGCAAATCCTGCAAACGACTCCGGGCGTCCCTTGCCGTGATAATGGCTTCCAAGACGTTCTTAGTGTACGGGAGCGTTGGTCAAAATTTGGGTCTGTTATCATGCTCACCGACAAGAATCGTTCCTCTGTCGTATTAAACAGGACAAAAGACTTAGAGCTAACCGGGGGATCACCAGTTCTATGCTCCATGCGAATGGAACCACTTAAAGGGGCTGACCAACAATTCTGGCCAATACATCCGTGTGTTGAGAACTTACTGCGAGCCGTCAGTCGTCTTCCTATGTCACGTAGAATCTGGGTTGCGCACATACCACAGACGCCAAATGATGAGGTCAGAAAATTCGTTGCCACGACAAGAAGCACCAAAAAACACCCTATATTTGGTGACTCACTAGACACCAACTTTTTCATACTCCTGGGTATTTTTTAAAAACCACTTGTCTTGTCGTCATCTTTCTCCACTCACTCGAACTTTCTGTGTTCCGTTTTGCAGCCTGAAGTGTTCCGACTTGCAACTATTTGTGGAAATTTTCGGTTTCCTCAATGCCGCGGACATTAGCCATCCACCTATCCGAAGTCGACATACTCTTCTGGCTCTTCCCCAGACGAACGGTTTGTCCCCCATTTTAGATCTTTTTTCTCTCATTCCTCCGAAAGCAAGACAGTTTTAGGCCTGCCGTTTAGACTTTACAAAGTTTTGCATGATCGAGTGCCTTACTAGCATGAGATGAGAAAGCCAGGCATAGCGTCAGGATTTTCGCACAAGTTATTGTCAGCCCAGCAAAAAGGCCTCTAATTCCTGAGTGCGGTTACCTTTCAGACGATACATGCATCAGTGGTCAGACCAACTTGGGCACCAGATGAAAAATGGAGACGAGCTAAACCGATCCGACTCGGGTAAAGGGAAACACCGGAAGTGTATTGGCCCATAATACAACCAAGCACAGAGTACTTTGTCTAGCACGGTTAAAAAGTTGTTTTTGTACGTAGCCTCTGTATTCGACGAAGAACTGCAAAACCAGTCTCGAGAATTTGTGCAGTAAGCGTTTTTCCTATCCCAAAGAATTTAACCTCCTTTCACTTTTTTATACACCACTTGTTTATAGAATGGACATTATATGGTTATTTCACGGTAGTTTGTAGTATTCGACTCGGATTTTTGTTGGAATTTCTGGTCTGACCCTAAAATTCATACCCTGGATACTAAACTGCACTTAGTGATTCCCGAAATTATGGACGTGATTGTGCTTTTGAGTTCATTGGCGAAACACATATCTGGGCTTTTTATTGGTTTCTATGTTAAAGACACCGGTTGCCTTACGAAACTCACTCGTCTGTTTGTGCCTTGGAACTCTCTCTCTTTCTCGAACCGTGGTAGCAGCCCTACAACGGTGCGCAATACGGGGAGAATAGCATTACCATGGCTGGAATGGCCATTTCTGGCTTTTTAGCCGTCATCGGCCAGCCATACCCAAACCCGAGGTATCCAATCACCGACGCATAGGTCGCGAGTTCGAGCCTTCATAAATTAGCCTTTGTGGTACCTCTCCGTCGCGAGGTTTAGCCTGCATGTAACCCGCCCAGTTTGATATTTTGTAGTCTGGACTCAGGCTCGCCGCTAGCATGGAGGTTATGTTGGGTCGCCCCGGCTCCAATTCGGCTCTTGACTTGCCCACGATAATTAACGCCATTCAGAAATACAGATCTCGGACCGTCCAAAGGAAATTTCTGTTACTCTCCTATTCAAGTTTTGCTGTCCTCCCCTCTGTGGTGGAGACAGTAAATCGCATTCACTTATGACAACGACACTTCGGCCTGCCGGTGCACGCAGAATGTAGAGACTTTTTGCTGATCAGTATGCCTGCGCAGATTGAACACTCCATTCCGCTATAATGGCGATGCGCGCGAGCTAGAGACAGAACTCACTTTATCCTGACTAGAGAACTGGTAATAAAAATGACTGGCCTCGGGCAGAATTTTATGTGCGACTCACGAGAAGTAAACTGACACATCTTTGTGACCCCTTAGCCTCATGATAGCACAATTTATGTGTCCACCTCCCCCTCCTCCTCCAGCTCAAAGTGAGGTAACCCCTGGCCTGCTGGAAATGCTTCTTCTAACGATGGGCACCACGCTCACTGTGGCCATGGTGACGGTCTACTTACAGCCACCCGTGTCCCGCCCCACTGTCCTCAAATTAACCGAAGACTCCAGCCCGCCGCATGTGCTGCCAGATTCTCGTCGCCTTCTGACGCACGGGTTCATCCACCGTTTCAATTCAAAACGAGACTGTTTAATGCTGTCTCTCTTTCCAGAAGGTCAGTCCTTTCCCGCCCTTCCTGCGCGCGCCCCCCAGCTGAGTATCGAGGAGTGATAATATTGCTTAGACATTTTTACTACATAACCGTCATTTTTTGTCGTCTGTGCCTTGTGCTGCCTCGTCTATCTTGGACTGTAGGAGATTGCGTGATGTCACACGAGAGTGACGTTCACCGGGCCCGGGGTTCAAGTGCCAGGCGCATCACCATTTCAGATTGAGAAATGATAGATAAGAGGCCGGAAATGGTCATCCCGATACACCTGAAGCGAATAACGTCTTTCCGTTTTATCTCACCCAGTCATGTATTGAGGCTTTGCACAACCCTTTTACTCGTTTCATTTACATCGCTACTAAGGACGTTTGCCATACAGATCCAGACAGACCTACTGATCAGGCGCTAACGGATTGGCCTTACAAGTCAAACAAAAAATGGTTGCCTGAGTCATCAGGCGCAGTTGCAAAACGCCGTAAAATTGGCTCAGTCGGTAGGGTAGTTTGACTGTGGGCGCTCAACAGGTTACGGTTGGGAAATCGTCGATACGAACGCAACTCTGTTTAATCTACGCTACTGAAATAATGCGAGTAGCGTTTAGTTTTTGCTTTTTCTCAAAACTTGAGTTACGAGTGATTCGTTGCGTTACACGCCACCTCCAGAGTGCACTGGACTGCCTTGGTTGGGACAGTTCGCACACCTTGCCCCCGTCGCGGACTTTGCTGGCTCACTTCTCTACAACGATGCTGACAACACAACTCCCTTCCCTGTCCGAGAGGCGGATAAACTGAGCTACAAACAGTCCGGTAAGCTTTCTTCCCACCGTCTTGACCTCTGACCACACCACACATATTTGTATTAATGATGTCTGGAAGAAATGTGTCTTACATCAGAAACTGTTTTCGAGTGTGATTGTCGCAGGTGATTGGGAGAAATCTCAGTGTCGTTGTGCAAAATTACTTGGTTTGTATTCGTTTACTATCCGTGCTGTTATGGCAAGCTACTGTGAGCTAGGCCTGCTTTTGCCATTTCGTCAGTGTCCTTTCTTTTCGAAGGGACTTTACCCGTCGTTCCATGAGTTTCGGTGCGTACGATAGACATCAATTACCACCGTATAACGAATTTTAAAGTTAAAGTAATCAATGTTCATAAGCACTAGGCGTTAGCGCTCGACCAGTAATTTGGTACGGTGATAGCATCTTCGCCGGAATTGGCGTCTGGAAGTCAAAGACAATGCCAGAAGACAGCCACGTTAACTTGGATGATCTAGACGACTGTTTAGAATGACTTAACAAGCTGGGTCTGGTCTATGACGCAGAGGGTGAGAAAAAGGAGACCCCTTACTCCGTCCCCACCGCCACTTATTCCGGTGTATGCCCCTGCAGCGACGGACGACAGCTGCATGCCCATGAAACGCAAATCCTCAAGGGGTCAACTCCGACCTGCCTTCGTTATTAAAAGGCCGTTGTCTTCTCACGACCACAACTTCCGTAGCGCCGTCTCGAAAAAGCCAGCCGGGAACTCCACTGCCACTGCCTGTCGGATGCCGAATACTATTCCATCCATAGTCCCCTGCAGTTTCTTGACCCCGACGACGGCACATGCGGAGGTGCCTCACCTGACTGGACGATGGCGACGAGGATCTTCCATTTTCCAGTGCCCGCGGCGTCCTCTCTGTAGCTCGCGATTCCTGTTCCACAGTGGATGACAACTAGCAGTCTTGTGCAATGCCGCCGATACCGGTGGTGTGAGGAAACGTGCGTTAATCAAAATGGCTGATCACAGAGACAGAGACACAGAAAATCGATATGGGTGGAAATTTGAATTGCAGATCTCTGATTGCAACTAGGCACTCATCTGTTCGGCTAAGGACTTAAATCAACTGCTGATTAGTGTTCAATGGAGACAATGGGACCGGCAAGTGAAGTTATGGGATTCAATGCGGACGGTGTGTATCAAAAACGTTGATGCGACGCTAAAATGGGGGGACTGCAACACTAGGGTCAATTAGGAGAATGTAAGTTTTTTACGGTCGTTTCTGGGAGAACTAACTGCCTTATCTACAGTTCGCGACCTAACGGAAGAAAATTCTTAGCATATACACGCAAACCCTTGTAACGTACTGGTCGTCCGCTCCGCATCCTCGAAAGCTATACTGCATTAAAGAAACGATCATTCTTCGAAAGAAAGCCTAGTTTGGCTTATAAATCATAATATATCAACGAAGAAATAACTTAAAGTAGGTGGGCTAACTCATGAGATGTCAACCGAAATTCCGAAATGCGTTTCCGTTTCGAAAAGATTAATTAAGTAGGGTTGTAAAACCAATCATCTTGCAGCATAATTCTATAATAATTCAGTTATCCGAGGAACTGGCTTTCGAAAAAACTTCTTTTTGGGTGCATCCGAGAACCGTACTCCGTAAAAAATGACTACTTAAGTAGCATGCATTTTTCATGGATTTTCGATGCCCTTAAATATTTAATTATATTTCTTGGAAAATATGCATAAAAATATTCATTCTTTTGCTCATTCAGTAGAAACTTACGTCTTCTTTCGATTTTGCACTCGAAGAAAGGGTACAATTCGGTTTTAAGAGGTTTCTAATTGTGAGATTTTTTATTACCGTGAAATGGCCCTTCATAAAACGTCATGTCTCCGCATATAACAATGTGGCTCAAATGCGCTGTTTAATTTTATGAACTCTATGTGGTCCCCCGTTATTACCGTAGAGAAATATGTGGTTTTCCGTACAAGGAAATTATACAGCTTGTAGTTTGCGAACCCTGAATGCAAGTGTAACGGCAGGTTGGCTTCAAAATTATTCGGGAATTGGAAAAATTTTATAAAACCAGATTATACCCATCTTTCAATTGTAAAATTAAAAGAAGACTTAATTTTCTACTGAATGAGCAAAAAATGAATAATTTTGTGCATGTTTTCCATGAACTATGACTCAATCTTTAGGGGCATCGAAAATCAATGAAAAATGCATGCTACTTAAGTAGTCAGTTTTTTACGGAGCATAGTTTTTGGATGCAGCCAAAAAGAAGTTTTTTCGAAAGCCGGTTCCTCGGATAACTGAATTATTATAGAATTATGCTGCAAGATGATTGGTTTTACAACCCTACTTGATTAATCTTTTCGAAAGGGAAACGCATTTCGGAATTTCAGTTGACATCTCATGAGTTAGCCCACCGACTGTATATTATCGAAAACCATCGAATCAAGAGAAAACGGCTTTATGTCGGGTCAGTTATTTAAGACCTAGTATAACTGATAGCAGAGAGGGAAACTATAGTACGACGAGAAAATAATGAAAAACAATAACAAACACAACGCATTAGTACTTTATCGATTGTACTTGTACCTGCAAAGCAACCGTAAGTCGGGCGGGCGCAGAAACCACCAGGTTGTCTATGGCGGAATGGTCAACAGTATTATGGAGCACAAAATCCAGCATTTGCTGTATTGAACTGCTTTCCTGCCTCGTCCTTAGTTCATTTGATTTATGCGGCGAGACTGGATGGGATTGAGGTCAGGTTGTTTTCAGGAGTAAAAGTGCGTCGCGTGTGGAGGTGCTGGCTTTTGTCAAAAAATCAGATTATGGTTATAGGCTGAATCACAATCACACCTGCTTTGAGCGCTGAACAGCAGCATTATCCTGCAATTTTACCGTGCACACTGGACGTTGATGGATGCCGTTGTGACCGAAGGCATCATTCACGATGTCGATGGACACTTGTCTGCTTGTGGTCTCCATTCTCGACTGCCAGATTGGGCGCCCTGCAACATCGATGGTCATCCAAACCATCAGGCGTCGACAGTTCTTGAAAGCTGCTGTCGGGGGAAGATCTTCCTCCACATGACCATCTGGGCTTAATCGTAAAGGAAACGCCGTTACGGAACACAGGTCTGTGACCAGTTTATTCTCGAACAAATAAAACACGTCGTCTAATCAGTCCTCTACTCTTCGCCCTAGTTCAAATTATGCGCAGAGACAGCATTGGTAAATGTTCCCCGTGAATATCTTTAAGGGCATATAATGGTACCTTTTTACTGTGCGAGGAATAAGATCGTTATCAGTCTTGCTTGTAAATCCTTTCGATTCACCTTACCTGATTTTAGGTACTGTTCTGTGACCGATAATTTTCCAGAGAGTGGCCTAGCTTAGTATTTAAAATACTAGCTAGCGGCTCACGCGGCAGCCCTTTGAGTGCTAATTTCCATATGCGTTCAAAACCAACCTCCGATAAAAAATCCGAATTTCTAGTCCCAGAAGGGATCTAATATTTTGATGCTTACATTACTGTTCCTTTATAGCGCCACGCGCGTAAACAAGATATTTTGCTTTGGTATCCCATGGCCTAGAAAATTGATTGGATATCGGGAAGCGTCCGACTTCGTCTAAATTTCGCCTGTCTTCTTTTCGCAAAACGGACTTGAAATGAATCCTTCTTTAGTAAGAGGTTTTCCTCCTCACGAATCAATTTAACAAACAAAAGTGACAACACCGTTTTTAAGTTAAGTCATTTGCATGTATCGAAATCTGAGGTGTAGGTCACTTAAATACTGTTGCTGGGGAGTGGGTAGAGCGCGTATTCCATGGTGCCCTACCATGGCTTATTACTAAATAAGATAGGGAGAACTCTTCACTGAACACTTCCGCGTGATCTGAAATATCTCCTATCGCAGCCGGTTGGGAGTGGTCATGAGATATCCCGAAGTCGAACTCCGAGGTCCTTCCTTTCACGGTTTAGGCTCGACTGCAGCACGAGAGCCACAAATGACTATTTGTGCCTCCCTTGTCTCTATAGGTATTTCTTCCACATTCCGTATATTTGAGGGTAGTAGGTAGCACTTTTGAAACCTACCTATTTTATGGCCTTGTCCGTGTCACTGTCAAGGGACTAACGTTTTCACGTTTGTGACGATAACATCTTCTCGGAGGCTTTACTGCAACTTAATTTGTCCTTAGATCGGCTTGGATCATGCGTTGTCTGAAATCGCCGTCACAGGTGCCGATTCACTCAGCAGCTAGTCCACTGACTCACTTTTTCCTGACTCTAGGTCGGGCCGCTTTTTCTGCCCTCAGCCTCCACCCCTCTTACTCTGGTATTTTTCTATTTCCTCTTCACCTCTAGCCACGTCAGACTTCCAGTACGTGAACTGGGTGCACTCACCACACGGACCCACAAATGACATTAACAAAGTGGTTCGGCTGGCAAAACGTCTGCCAGAAAAGTCTGCTGTCTTCTTTAAGGTATTTTCGGTCTCGATTACCTGTAACTCCGAAGTCCCACCCCCCTTACTAAAGACCAATAATCAGTGTCCTCAACCGTTTATCGTTGTCCAGGGTCCTCGTCTTGCTGTTGGGGAAACTCTGCTTGCATACGAAGCACTATCTTGCTACGTTTTGGGACAAATCTTGGAAACGGTATAGAGAAGGACCCCACTTAAGTGTCAGTAGACTGTTCATCGTGTCATATGGGGTTTTATATTGGCATACATTTGCAGGCTGTTGCAGAAAGTACACTGCCAACAACGATTACTTCTCACGACCTCACACCTTAACTCGAAATTCGTAATTTTGTGAAATTTACTTTTTGTCTATTGTCTGATGATCACTCTCATTTCCGTTGTCGTACAATAGCGTAGGATAAGACGTTCGGCATAAATCCAGGCAATTTATGTGTTCTCTTTCATTTTTCCAGCTTTCTGTCTAGCGTGCTGCCCCACTCATAAAACTCCCTTTACCATAAATCACGTATGGCACGATCCGCAGTCTGCTGACAGTTAAGTGGGGTCCTTCTCTATACTGTTGCCAAAATCCTGACGCGGCAGTCCAGGCTCCCAGTTTTCAGACGCTCTTCCCTGCACTGCCTGAGGCTGTGCAGATACGCGACGTTGACCACACTTCTCCACGCCATTGAAAGCCCCGCTTGGTCACGAAAACAGACTCAAGTCCTGTGGACGAAATGACGAGGGCCATAGAGATGTTGCGGCATTGCCACAGGTTCCTACTGATGAGGGAGACAGAAGTAAGACTACATGAGCACGTTAAAACTTCACTTTGTTTGCTATGTCTCGGACTATGCCTAACCTAGTCGACTGAAATGCCATCGCTGGTACTACTTCTCCACGGGGGGCTATTAGTACCGGTGGATCTGGGCAGCTCTCCCCAGTCTCCCACGTCGGACGACTCTTTGTCGGATGAAGGGTAGCAGCAATGGAATCCCTTAACGGGCAATAATGGACGTCCCAAAGCCACCTGTGCCGGTTCATTTTAGATGATCCGGGAAACACATGTGATGTTTCGGCAACTCCAGTCGAGTGTCACATTCGAGACAAAATCGGTGTACTTAAAGCAAAGATAACCTTGAAAACTCCACTTAGGAATCGAACAGGAGTCCAGCTGACCACGTATTAGATCGAAATTCGGCCGACCGCAAAAAGCATGCCCCTCGAATCAGTTCTTCGGGCACTACAATGTACCGTACTGTCAGAATTGTCTCATAGCTACTAGGATACTACTCGTTTGAACTTTCTGAGAGCACTAAGGCAGGCTCCTCATCTGTGAGCCAAATTTAAAATGCAATAAAGTTAAGACGGCCATAGGCTATTACCCTTTAAAACTTAGAGGATCCCGATGCCGCCTGGACGTTCGAAGATGCTCTTTTTCACAGCGAGTCGTCGGTGCCTGGAACAGTCTACCCGAGGACGTGATAATGGCGGGCTCCACGGTGACATTCAAGCAAAGACTAGATGTATATTTGCTTGGAAAATACCGTTTGTCTCGGCAGAACAGCTCTGTTGTGCCAAACCAACGCCTTGCATACACCTACCGCTAATGCGGATGATTGTCATTTCATTTTACCGATATCATCTAGAACTGAATGTTCTCGAGTTTCGGTCCTGCATTTTCAATGGAAAATAATATGTTAAGTGTATATATTACTGACAACATTTTAGTACCATGTTTATTTAAATTTAGATACTGCATGTGCCGGTTTCAGCTGGGTTTTAAAAGGCATTGCCTATTACCCTTAAAATATACTGACCTATGTGCTTCCTGGCACATCAACACTAGCTCATTTGCCCTAACTTTCACCCTCCGCGCATGATTTGTTTCTATCCCTTATGCACCTGCGTTTCGGTAAATAAAGCGCTGTGTAATGGGCACACGTATGCGTTTCGTCCTTGGAGGTAGTGACCAATCACTTGATTGCTTACAAGTGTGCGTCAGTGACATTCGAGCAGTACACCTAAGCGTCTGTTGCCATGTAAGTTTCGCCGCTTCAACTCTCTCATCAGTACGTTTTACTTATTATTTTACAGGAGCTCAACCGCGTTAAAGCTGCTGCCTTGGCCTGTGGATGGCCCAGTCTACTGAGCACACTTTATGCACTAATCCTCGAAAGTGTCCAGAAGACGCCCGAAACGGACGCCCACCTTGAGACGATTTCAAAAATCCTAACGATACCCAACGACGACGGCGACCAGCCCATGTCCCCAACTCCTGTATAGTAATTTTCGGATTCACTCCTGTAAATATAACCTAATCATTTTTTGAGTAGCGGAAATTCCTGTAGCAGTAATCAGAAGACGAGCTGGCGAACATACGTAGCTTTCGATAAATTCTCGTTGGGCCAGTACAGTTATATGGGAACGGGGTAGAAGTAAAAACACGTCTGTGATAAGATAAATCGATTAAAGTTCGCCTTTAACACAGGCCGGGTGTGGGAATGTGGGGGAGGGGGGAGGGATTATAACAGTCACTGCTAGGGGCGGGGTGAGAATGGAAGGACGCGGGGAGGGTTGTAGTGTTAGTCGACCTTCGATCACTGTAGGCGCGAAGCCTGAACGTGGTCCTCCTGTGCGCACAGGATTGGTTTTCGTAACCTGATGGCGGCCGCCTCTGCTGTTGCTAACAGGTGCTGTCCTAGTGGTTTAGGATAGCTCGATGGGGCCTTATAGATCACACGAAACGCTTCATTGGGGTCTACATTATGTCCGAAATCGACAACATGCGCGAGAATGGCGCTCCTTGTGCTCCTAGTTTCGCCTTTTCCCAGCCATGCCGGTAGGTGTCCCCGTATTATCTTGGATAAGCGCCGACTCGTGCGACCAATATAACCTGCTCCACAGGAGCAAGTGAAGGAATAGATGCGCATTGAAGTGGTCTGTAGTGGCAACATATCCTTCCCTTCTCCGCGTAAAGTACGGTTAGTAGAGAAGGGTATTTGAACCCTTGCCGCTGGGAAGGTTCGCGAAACAGCTTGATCAAGGCGTCTCTAGGAGTTCACTCTCAGCGTCCCCTATGACAGGTTTGTGGGGATCTGTCGTCCAAAGTCCATACATGCCTGAGATGTTTTTGGCATGTCCTCGGTCTGGTGCTCGAGTGGCCACAGAAGGCTGCAATGGCACATGAATTTGGCCTTTATGACAATTGGGATCCGAGTTTCCTTTAGTGCGACGTGGTAAATGTAGTGAAGGCGTGGGCGGGCTCTCTAGCGTTGTCGGCACCTGCACCAGTTTCCCGGTCGATTTGACATTGACTTGCCGTTGGAGCAAAGTGTTCAAGAGAGGAGATGGCGTGCGCGGTAGGCGCTGCGCAAGTCTGTTTCATTACAAACTAACACACATGTAAGTCATTGGTGATGCGTCCTCTCCGTGAATGGATGTTGCTTGCAGGGGCTGGACTGTCACAGTGGTGTTTCTGTGTGTTATAGCAAGCGAGGGGAAAATAGGGATGACTGTGGGCCGGAAACTGTAGAACGGTTGACGGTGCGGAAACACCGGCTTCCCAGTGTCGTGCGTGCAACGTCGACCATGCTCTCAGCTGGCCATGGCACGTGGTGAAGCTTGTCGCTTGCTACTGTAGGGATGTAATGGTATGCAAAGGACCTCTCCTCTCATCGCGCTCGGGCTTCTGCCCCCGGGTCCTCGTGTACACCTCGTTTATTAAACTAAATTTTCTGGGCTTCCAGTGGGATAGGATGTCTGTCCGGTGGCCGAGTGATGCATACGAGTGACCACAGAAGGTTTCAACGACACCTGCAGTGGCTTTTTAGCAGTCGCCGACCAACCATCCCCAACCCCAGCTCTGGCCCCCTACATAATTACTGTTTGCTACGCTACTGCCTGTGAGCACCCTTCAAGACGCCACGGGACGAACACAGTGCGTAACCTGATCGGCGATGTCCCCTCCCCGAGAGGATCACTAGGGGCTCCGTCTGTAGCCCACAAAACAAATGTGCCTAACGACGGGACGCGCTGACTGACCTGGAACGAACTTGCCGGCTACGCGTACCACAACGTGGCCGGATCCCTACCGCCCAAAGCAGACTATTTGTAGTTCAGTCAGCACGGAGGGATACGCCGACTACATTTGTCGAAGGATTGAAGATTTTCAAGCCAGAAGACAGGCAAGGCAGTTAAATGTACAGTAGGTGGGGTAACTCATGAAATGTCAGCCGGAATTCCGAAATGCGTTTTCGTTCCGAAGTGATTAATTAAGAGGGCTGCAAAACCACTCAGCCTGCAACATAGTTCTATAATATTTCAGTTACACCAGGATGCCGGCTTTCGAATGAACTTCCTTCCGGCTGCATGCAAAAACTACACTCTGTGAAAAACGATTACTTATGTAGTATGAATTTTTCTCACGGATTTTCAATACCCTCAAAAATTCAATTTTATTTTATGGAAAACATGCACAAAAATATTCATTCTTTTGCTCATTCGGTAGACAATTACGTATTCGTCCAATCCTACACTCGAAGGAAGGGTATAATTCGGTTTTCAGAAAATTTTCCAATTCGTGAATAGTTTTGAACTCGCTCTATCCTTACACTTGGATTCAGGGTTTCCAAACTACAAGCCGTACATTTTCCGCGTACGGAAAACCACACATTTCTCTACGGTAATAAAGGGGGACCATAGAGAGTTCATAACATTTGCAGGGGATTTGATTCATATTGTTAACTTTACAAGCCGCAATGGTAAATGCAGAGACACGACTTTTACTAGCGGCCGTTTCATGGTATTTAAAAGTCCCACAATTAGAAACTTTTTAAAACCGAGTTATTTCCCTCCTTCAAGCATAAAATTAGAAGAAAACTTACTTATCTACAGAATGAGTGAGAGAATGAATATTTGTGCGCATGTTTTCCATGAGATATAATTGGACATTTAGGGGGCATCGAAAATCAATGAGAAAAGTACATGCAACTTATGAAGACATTTTTTGCAGAGTATAGTTCTTGTATGCAGTCGGAAATAAGCTCATACGAAAGCCGACAACCTGAGGTAATTGAATTATTATAGAATTATGCTGCATGATGATTGGTTTTGCAACCCTACTTAATTAAGCTTTTCGAAACGAAAACGCATTTCTGAATTTCGGTTGACGTTTCGTGAGTTAGCCCACCTACTGCAGATTTGGCTTTTATAACATTCTCATCAAAGTGAGATCTGAGTCTTCCCTACCGTGACGTGCTATTAGTAGAGGAGGCGAGGTCGTGCGTGGCACGCTTCCTGCCGATTCGGCATTGACGTCGGAGCGAAATGGTCAAGTGAAGTAATTGGGTGCGTGGTGGGTGCTGCGTAAGTCTGTCTCATTACAAACCAACTCACGCTCAAGTCATCGGTGTTGTGCCCACCCCGTGGGACACGCAATGGACGCAGTCACTTGCTAATAGGGGGAAAATAGGGGTGTTTGTGGGGCCAAAAGCTATACAACGGTTGACGTTTCGGGAACACCGGCTTCCCAGCGTCTTGCCGGTAATGTCGACTATGTTCCAAGCTGGCCATGGCTCGGAGGCAGGGAGCACCTGTCGCCGCTACTTGCAGTACGTGGTGAACCTTGTTTTTTGCTACGGTAGGACTATAATCGTATGCAAAGGACCCCCCTCGCACCTCGTCCGGACCTCTGGATGCTCGCGTACGCCTAATTAATTAAATTAAGTTTTCCGGGCTTCTAGCGCGATAGGACGAGTTTGTTTTTTCTTCAGCCTGCCCGTGTGTGTGTGTTGTCGGGCATGAAATCTCTCTTGGCCTCACTGACTTTCACAAGTCCAACCAGATGTCAGGGATTATATTCTTTCGGCCCTTTAAAGACCCGATTAAGTCGTGGTATGTCGAACAGCAGTTGCAGGGGACGACTTGTAACTTGTACTACAAGGTCTTGTGATTGCACCGAACGCCGGATAAGGCCCCAGTGGATGGTTTACAATATTGGCTTCATCCATTGTGCATTCTGTCTTCAGCGGTGTGTATTTTTGCACTGTTTAACTCTCACCGAAACTCGGCCATCAGATCTCTCGGAAGTTTTGATCACTCATACCTTACCTCGAGATGAAAGCAAAAGTCGCAGGTCGACAAGAGATCCCGGCCTCTGTACCTAGAAATGGCCTAAGCAAATCTAGGTCAGAATAGAATAGGTTTATTATAGCGCCCCTTGGGCACTTTCAGTCATTAGTGGCCATTCGTCATCCCTGGTTTATGACAGGCAGCTTGACCTTCCTGTACTTTACGACTGTGCACTACAATTTCGATTCCGGGAAGATTGTTCGACGGGTAAATCTTCGATGTCCTCCCCAAGAAAGCAAAGATCTTGACAGATGTGTTCACCCAGTCGGCAGGGAATCATGTGCTAGACAAAGAAGGGTTTACAGTTTCTTACATAAACACATTCCTTGGTTAGCATGAATAGTCAATGTTGCAGTTGAGCTTCTCTACTCGTGTGGATGCCAAACGCCTGTCATCCAATCGAAGTTAATTCAATCTTCGACCACCGGGGTCGTATTTTTACATATCTGGAAAACGCGAAATGTTCCCTTTGTCATGATCTTGCCGTAGGAAACGAAGAGTTAGCTCTGCATATCAGACAAACCCTCGTCTTCCCAACAATAAGATCGCCAATCTGGTAATAGTAGAATTAACCATGGGGGATCAGTCAATCCTGCTTGTGTGAAATCCGTCTCACTGCCCCTTTTACTTCAAAATTGTCCTCTCACTCAAGTCACTTAACGCCCTCATCCGTCTCCAGGCTAGCAGCAGCCCCTGTTGTCGTTACTAATTCTTCCGGAGACCCTCATATAGCACCCGCGGATCCGTCTACATCAGTAAGACCGATCGCCTCGCCACTTAAACGAAATCCTCCGAGTTTTCCATTTAAATCACATAAGGTACGTTATCAGAACGATGTGATTCAAAAATTAAATCCGACTTTGACTCAAAAAGGTGGAGTGGTCACATTTAATGTTGTGCTGCCTCCTCTTAGATTTACTAAACCTTCACAACCGAACTCGTCTATAAACCTCGTTTTTATTCCGCATACTCCCTGCCAAACAACGCTCTATTATTTATGCGGCCGACAGTCCTTACGCGAACCGTCCGAAATCATTTATTCCCAATATTGTCCAGGTCTATTACCACTTAAGACCAATAGTTCTCATGTAAGTCACCCTAACTCCTCTAACTTTCATCCTAGAAATGATTTCCAACCACCTAATCCTCATGGC